TATATCCTCTCAGCAAATTATGTTCAAAGATAAGAGTGAAAGAGGTAAAAATGTTTTAAGAGGCAATGACAATGAAAGAAATGGCAGTAGAAGAACTGGACTGTAGGCACTGAAATGCATGTGAAGTATATTAAAAAAAAAAAAAAACTCACTGACCATCGAGTTGGATCTGACTCATAGCAACCCCTCCTTGGGTTTCCAAGGCAGTATCTCTAAGAAGTAGATTGACCAACCTTCCTTCTGAAGAGTGGATGGTGGATTTGAACTGCCAGCCATCTGGTTAGCAGTCACATGCCTTAGGCACTACACCACTAGAGCTCCTATGTGAAGTATGGTTGTGAAGAATAAGTAAAGCTTTGAGAATTTCTAAAGAGACCAAAGCTGGAAGGCAGGTAAAATAAGGATGTAAAGATCTTAAAGCATAGTAGAAATAGTGGCAATATAAATAATAGAATTTTAAAAGGTGATGAGAACTGGTGGAATATGAGTTCCAAACGTGGCTGACCTTGAATAACTATTGATCATTTCTGCAGCAGCCTCAACCTCAGTGATGTCCAATAAACTGGTTTACCTGTTTTCACTCCATCCTCTGACTTCTAGGTCCTTAATCTACTTTACCTCCAACTGTCAGGTGGATTCATGTGTCTACTGTTTGTTTCTGGTTCTCTGCTGGAGTTCTACTGCATTGTGCAACTGAGTTGATCGTTACTTGTAGTGACTCTATAGGACGGAGTAGAACTTCTAGGGTTTCCTAGGCTGTGGTCTTTAAAGGTGCAGATAATCATGTCTTTTCTCATGCAGACCCATTTGGTAAGGTCAAACCTTCAACCTTTCAGTTAGCAGCTGAGAACTTTAACCGTGTGCCACTTTACTGATACTCTATCCAGTTTCAATGTTTCAACAATACAGCGAGAAAAATATCTTTATCACTACTTAAGTGGGAATGTCATTCATTCAAAATTACATTTCAACTTCACACTTTGTACATTTATGGGTGCTTTAACTTCTTTCAGATTTCATGAGTATAATATTTATTCATTCAAATTACAAAGATAAAATTATTTTCCTGGTAATTAGCAGTGTCAAGTAATATGGAAAAAAGTGCTTTGGGAATGTTGAGATAAAGTGTCTGTATTCCTCAGATATCCAAAAGATTTCTTGTCAGAGAAAGGGCTCAGATAAATGAAAATGAGAATTGTTAAGTAAGAATATATGTCAAAGAGAAAGCCAGTAGTTTCAGTTCACAATAGATTTATTTCTATAGTTTGTGATACAAGATGGCTATTACAATTTGGCTATAATAAATAAACTAAAAAAACTAGGTGGATTTGCTGACATTTGATATATATATATTCATGGCTTTGCATATATATAATGTACATTCCTGTAAGCCTATATTCTACTAGAGCCAACTTGCCATTCTTGCTGCCTTTCCTACCTAAACCTGTCCACATGGGAAATCAGAAATTTTAGTTGAGAGGTGAGAAATAGTGTTGAAAAAGACATGTGGTTGGGAAGCTATCATTTAATCCATTAAAATACAGAAATTCAATGATCCAAAAAACTAAAAACCAAACCCACCGCCACTAAGTCAATTCTGATTCATAGAGACCCCAATTGGGTTTCCAAGGTTATAAATCTTTATGAAAGTAAATTGCCTCATCTTCCTCCCACAGAGCAGCTGGTGGGTTATAGCTGCCAAACTTCTGGTTGGCAATCAAACACCTTATTCAGTGAACTTACATATATGTAAATATATTTAATAATATCACAATAAAATCCACAGACTAGTACAGAAACCTTATTTAAGTTCACGTTTAATAAAAAGGCATGGGAAATTGTAGTTGTTATAAAAAATAGGCTTAACCCCTTCCTTTCCTTAACACAATACTGTCAGTTCACAAGAAAATTTTTAGGTCTTATCTTCAACATAGGTCTTGAATCTCATGATCTTCACTGCTGCCCCCTTAGTCTAACCCATCTCTTGCTTAGTACTCTATAGTAGTTCCTTAACTGATCACCATAGTAGTACTGTCTTTCTTATCCAGAAATCAATCTTTTCTAACTGCCCAACAATTTCTCACTACACTCTGAGCAAAGTACAGATTTCTTGCCAGAGTCCAGAAATCAAGTAATTTGAGATTTCAGGGAATTGTGACTGCCAGCCCCTCTCCATGTAACCCTTTTTCCCTTATAGATTTGTATGACGTAATCCCTTAGTTCCTTCAGGTCTCTGCTTGTATATAGTACCTCTGTAAGATCTTCCCTGACTATACCGTTTCAAAGGTCCCTCACTCCTCGATCCCCATTACCACCGGTCACTATCTCCTTGCCCTGTTTTGTCTTTTATTACATGTTTATCTATTTATTGTTTGTCTTCCCAACTAGAATGCAATACAGTCTTTTATCTGTGTTGCTCGTTTTTAGAGCCAGTCCCCAGATCAATGCCTGATACATGTATGTATTTATAAATATTTGCTAAACCAAAAAAACAAAACAAAACCCACTGCCTTCAAATCAGATCCGACTCATAGAGACCCCTCCTTGGGTTTCTGAGGCAGTATCACTACAGAAGTAGATTGCCCAACCTTCCTACCAAGGAGTGGCTGGTGGGTTTGAACCACAAGCCTTTTGGGTAGTAGTCAAATGCCTTAGACACTACACCATCGGAGCTCCAAAATATTTGCTAGAGACAGGCAAAACGAAAAGGAAGGATTGAAGGAAGGGAAGAAGGAAGGAAAGAAAGAAAGACAGAGAGGGCAGGAGAAAAGAGCTCTATTATAATTTGCCATTACCTATCATTTTGTATCAGTGGAATTCCCTCATTCATGGTTTTGTCCTCATACATTCTTGATTATATGGACTGTGAGAGGGATCACATCATCTTCTCCTTTAATACTGGACTCCATCCCCAAAGTCATTTCTGAATCCTTAAATGACCAAGCCTTTGGGTGGGATGCAAACCCTTCATGCAAGAAATACAGAGCCACTATTGCTCTGTCTTTTATGGGACAAGGGATTATAGTTTTGATATCCCTTGTCTTCATTTCAACTCATCATCTCACCCAGCACAACCTGAGGACCTCAGCTCTACCTGCCTCTTCTTTAATTCACCTTAGCACATATTTAACTTAACAATATTGTATTCTATAACTCAAAATTTGCAGATGTGTCTTATGTGACAATTTGTATAAAGCTGAATTTTCATAATTTCAGTTTTATAACCTAGAGCGATGTCACAAGATAAAGCTACTGTACATCTTAACAGTTGGAATCTATTGTAACTATTTTTTTTCTATAAGCTATTATTATTATATTACTCCTGTAAAGAGACTTTTTTTTTTTTTTATTGTAATTTGGGTGAATGTTTACAGAGCAAATTCACTTTCCATAGAGCAGCACACATACATTTTGTC